TAATTGGTCGGATCACATATGTTATATGTCTATTAAAAGAAAAACCTCATCCTACCACACTTATTATTATGGTCTAAATACTCTTACCCCTTGAGGTGTATCTATCATTAAGTACTTCAATCACTCTAATAGTGTATTTTCATTATTGAACTTAAAACTTAACGTTAATCAAGTGTAAGTTGAGTTTCCATTATTGATTATTAATTAGATATGGGCTTGTTCCACATTCCTAATGATGTCTTCGTTGTATTCAATTATAACAAAATACATCATATCTTTGTCAATTCTTTTATCGAAGAATTGCAAGATTTTTCCAAACTTTAATAAATTATGAATATTCAATTTTTCAATTAATCATGCGTATGATTACTTTATGTACTTTTGATAGTATTTACCATATATCATCAAATCATAACACTTTTGTCATATTAGTACAGTTATCATATACAACATATATTTTATATTATTGATAGTTCGATAAACTACCATCATGACATTTCACTGCTAAAAAAATTTATTTTAACGTCGGACGTGAAATGCATTTTACTTCCGCTGCAGTAGCGAGGTAACAAAGGGTATCATGAAAAGTAACGGCTTATCACCTCGATTTTTTAAACACCAAGAGGTATATTCATTTGCACATGAGTTCGAACCCCAGTATCAACATTTTTATTATCATACATCTCAGTTTACAATAAAACTGAGGGGTAAGATAGATTGTTTTTTAATTGAAATTAGTTACATTGTTTACTAAATAAAAATAATTTGTTTACAAACTACAATGTTTACCCAGAATATTATATTGTTTACACAAAATATTAAAATAAAAATTAATTTATCCCTGAAGATCATATGTTGGATCTTCGACTCCTTGATGTTTGGGCAAAATCAAATGCTTCACCTTGTAAGTATTTATTTCTGAAATAAAATATAAAAAAAAATGTTAGAAAAATAAATGATTTTCTTCTCAAATGAATATTTAAAAACACAAACTTTAAACCCAAACTATTTGATGCACTTGCAATCAATCATAAAGAATTTCTAATGGCAAAAGTTAAAGTGGAGGATGTAGATAGTTTCAAATGCTTCATAACATTTCTTAATCAATTATAGATATCATAAGGCCTTTATAATGGAAAAAATTTAGGTTTCACACGGATCATTAATGGTAGTGTCTTGAGAGTTGATAATCATGAAATGGACGACAAATATTTGTTTAAGGACTGTGATTAATATCTAAATTTATCGTGCTAAGTTATCCCCTCGATTTTATTAAAATCGAGATGAACATGAGTTTTTTTTAAATTACATTATTTACACAAAATATTGTAAAACATTAATACAGCAAAAGAAGAATTTTGGTGTAAGAAGTTATATGGTCCAAATATTACACGCATCCAAGTTCTAGGAGTTATCTGGTCCAACCATTGAATGCATCAAACTCCTAAAGGAATTATCTGTTCTAACTATTAAAAAAAAAATTATGCACTTGCAATCCATTATAGAGAACTTTTACAAGTTTTTAAATACAACAACCACAACATCAACACCATTTTGTGAGATGGATCTCAAAAGAATGATGTTTTCGAGTTTGGAGCGGTTCCATATAAATTAGGATTAGGGTAAAATCTATTTAAAGAGTGCTTTTATATTAAAACTTGATTATCTTATCCCTCAGTTATTAAGGAAACTGACGGGATATATCATTTAGTTTACAAAAAAAAAAGGTTCCTAAATTGTTTTTCCCCTCGGGTTTTTTGAATAACCGAGATAATGAGTTGATTGTAATATGTTGTTTCTCTTTCGAAAAAACTAAATCATAGCGCACACTGGAATCATATCACTAGAATAGAAATGATCATCCATATTTAAAACCATAACGTATCTTTTGGATTTTCAAGAAGGCGTTTGAGCTTCTCCTATGTTCCACTTCATATTCTCCACTTAATTTAAACATTATTACTAGTTTCAACGTCTCATTTCCAACTCTTTGTGGCTACAAAGTCTTTTCTTTTCTTCAAAAATGTCTTCAACAACCTTAGCTGAAAATCTTTTGTTCGTTATCAATGAAAATTTTATTGATTTCGATGATTTAAAAGACAAAGATTTTGACCTAAGAAAAACTATTCTCAAACAAAAGTTGAATGGTTACTTTGACATTCTTCATGGACTATCTACATTAATCACGTTAAAGAGTTCTGGTTAAATACCTCTATTGGGTCATTTGGTCATGATGTTAAGTCAATCCATTCTTATGTCAATGATTATCCTATCACAATTAGCCAAGCACTTATTGCTCAGGCAATAAACTATGAAGAGAAAGGTTGTTGAGTTGAACATTATAGATTCAACAATGTCTACTCATATCATCTTCGCCTAATTTATGCCAACAACGATAATCTCAGCAGTTAGCTACTTTACTACAAATTGAAAAAGTTTTATATCAACTTCTAGTGTCAAATTTTTGTCCAAGAGAGAAACAATTAGAAACGCTTACTTGGAATGACAAGCATCTCTTGTTATTCCTTACCAAGAACATCAGAGTTAATCTTCCTCTTACCATTTTTAACTTCTTAAAGGAAATGATAATCATCTCTAGGGAGGAAATGACTTTCCTCATACCATATGAAAGAGTTCTTTCTAAAATTTTCTCTCTGTTGGAGATATTTAATAGTGATAATGTTGAAGTTGAGTGGAGTCAGAAATTTGTTTATGTGGAATAGTTATTTGTTGTCCTTTTTTAATTAATGAAAATTTTCCTTTCATATTATTGCCTATTCGTTTTTATTGATAACAAAAATTTAGAGAATTACTAATAAACAAGAAAAAAAATGAAGAAAAAAAATTAACTAATAAAAGAAGGGAAGATTGGAAAGAGCCAAGTTAGAAATCATTGGAAAAAAATTTGTGGTATTTGAATTGAACTCTAGTGTCGACAAAGGTAGCTTCGTGGTTCCACAGAATTTGTGCATGCTATAGTCAAAATATATTCAAGCATGTTGTCGAAATATGTTAGTTTTGTGTTTAAGTTAGCAATGTCGAATTGGGCCTTGGTTGTAAGCCTAATTTTTAAGTTAGCTTGTAGCCTAAGTTAGCTTAGTAGTCTATAAATAGACTAGTTCTCTCAAGTTGTTAAGGGGGATTAATTGTTTGTATTCACTTGTAATCCTTAAATCCTTATTGAGAAAGTGAATAGTAAACCATATTTAACCAATTCTTCTTCTTCCTTCATCTCTCTTTTCTAAACCTAAATAGGATTTCTTGTGTTTGTTCAAGAAACTCGATCTTTATCTCATAACTTTATTCTGTTATTGACGACATCAATTCACAACAAATTGGTGCGGTGAGTGTGGAGGACAAGTTTCGTCAACAAAGTATGAGATTGAGAAATTCACTGGTGTGAATGATTTCGGTTTGTGACGCTTGAAGATGCAAGCCCTTATTGTTCAACAGGGATTGTTAGAAGCGTTGAAAGGATCGGATAAGATGGACGCTACCCTATAGTAGAAGGAGATGACAATGATGGTCGAAAAAGCCCACAGTGCGATTGTATTGAGCCCTGATGATAAGGTTTTCCAGCAGGTTTCAAAGGAGAAAACTGCAGCTGGTGTGTGGACGAAACTTAAAGGTTTGTACATGACAAAATCGTTGGTTAATTGTCTCTATCTGAAGTAAGATTTGTATTCATTCAAGATGAGTGAAGCCAAAGGCTTAGCTGAGCAGCTCAATATGTTCAACAAGTTAATTCTTGATCTTGAAAATATCGAGGTCAAGATTGATGATGAAGATCAAGTGTTGTTGTTGTTGTTGTTGTGCTCTTTACCTAAGTCTCATGCTCACTTCAATGAAACTCTCTTATATGGAAGAGAGTCGTTGACCTTGTTCAATATGCCATGTACTTTAAGGATTTGAGCGAACAAAAGGAGCACGAGTCATCTTCTGTTGGTGAAGGTTTATCTGTTGAGGAGAAATTATTGAAGAAAAATGGTAGGTTTGAGAAGAAAAATGATAAAGTTCTACAAACTTCTTATGGTGGTAATGCTCCTACTATTAAGTGTTATCATTGTAAGAAGGAGGGTCATACAAAAAAAAGTATGTCTTAATCGTCTTAACAATCATGGTGGAAAGGATAACGATAATACAGTCATTGTTCAAGATGGTTATGAATCATCTGATGTCCTGGTGGTTTCAAGTAGTGACTCTAGCAAAGAGTGGATTGTGGATTCAAGGTGTACTTATAGAGCTGTCAATTTAGGGGGTCAATTAATTTAAACCCTAGCCCTAATATTAAGGGACCTAAAAATAAAATAAAATTGAAAAAAAATTGAAAAAAAAAAAAATTTAAAAAGTATACTAAAAATTTTAGAAAATAAACAACTTTTTTAAAAGAGTTTAAAAAAAGTTTTCTCAACAAAAAAAAAAATCTATTAAAAAAATTCTAAAATAAAAAACAATTTTTAAAAAAAATTCAAAAATTCAAAAATTCAAAAACAACTTTAAAAAAATAAAAAAGAAATCTTTTTCCAACATAAAATTTCAAAAAAAAAAAAAAGATTCTCTTAAAATCATATTTTACACATTATAAAATAAGAAAGAAAAGAAAACATATTATACAAACCCAATTCAATTATGTGACTTGCTAGTATATATACACACTTGAGTAGGATTTTATACTCTTTCTTCAAACAGAGGCAACAATATTAGGCATCTCAATTTAGGAAAAATACCCTGGAAACATATGTTTCCAAAAAGAAAAAATGTCATCTTCTCCGCTTACAACTAGATCATTACCGTTTATAAACATATCACTAAAAGATATATGTCAATACTCCTGGCATTCAACATTCGAAATTGAAGAAAATCAATACAAATATGAACCAAATATCACAAAAACAAAAACACTAATCCAACAAAAAAAACATGAAAAAATAAATTCAACACAATAAAGTATATGGCACTAAAAATAGTTCTCCACTTCAATCTTGCAATCCAAATGGATGTTAAGTCATTGTCACCTCATAGTTGCCTTCATTATTAGTGTTGATATCTTCCTCATCTTAAAAACACAATAAATCATACTTAGATGCAGATTCAACAAAACAATAACATGAGTATATCATAAAAAATACAAAGTATTATTACCATTCATATTTTCAAAAAATACATGCAACCAACTCCGAGTACAAATCAACATTTGAATGTGTTCTGGAAGAGTAGAACTTCTATATTTGGTAAGAGCACGTCCATTGATATTGAAAGAAGACTCAGATCCTACAGTCGTAATAGGAATGCGAAGCACATCATGTGCCATTATGGAGAAGATAGGAAATTTTTTCTCATTAAACCTCCAATAAAGAAGTACATCAAAATCTTCAGAGTGTTCTTCATTGAGATTCATTAATTCTTCGTCAAAATATATATCTAATTCACTCTTTTCGGAGACAAAACTACTATCAATCGAGTTCCATGTTTTAAAATTGTGCAAAATAAACTTTTCACTTCCAAAACAACAAAAGCAAATAAACTTTTCAAAAGACAGACACATAAATGAAGCATTCATAAAACAACCAATTTATAGCACTAAAACAATTTGAGAATTATGATTCAAGAACCAAACCAAATACCATTCAACAAAAATGAGGCAAAAACTAAACTAAACTACTTAGATCAAATACCATTCATAACAAGAACAATGTCTTAAGAAGCATAGAGAAAATGTCCCAATCATAAGGAACTATTTTATTATAAACTTAGTACGACATCAACTCGGTATTATAATTTCTAGTTAGTACTACAACACTTCAATGCATAATTTTATTATATAGGCCTAAAACATTTTCAACACGCCCAACCATTTGCAAGCCAAACTAAGAATACATCTACCGATCATTATGCAACTTTCTAAGGCAACATTACAACCTACCCCCATTAAACATGCTTACAACAGGAACTTGAGATTAGGCATATGACTTGTAATAGAACAAACAAAAGTCTCACCATTCTACAATTCGTTTCTATCTATTTAATTTCTTCTAATTTAATTGTCAATGTTGCTATGTTATATAAAGACCAATCTATTTACATCACCTAAAGCTAACAAAATGTAAATAATCCACAACCTAAAATTTTCAAACAAGTAAACATATATATAATATAAAAACATGAGGAAATGGGTAAAATAAATATGTTCATTTAAAAAATTTACACTTATAATCTTTAATTTTTTAGCTCTATTCCCCTTTCTAGATAACTTGGTCAATGAGTTGAACTTATAAGATGATTGAGAAAGAGAAACACTTTGAGTGGTAGAATAACTCACATATTCTTCATAAAGTCCTTTAAATTTATCCATCACATTCTTAAGTTTCCCTTCAGAGGTTGAGGCATCAAGTGTAGTGTAGCATCCTTCAAGCGTGGATCAAGAATAGCTCCAAATGCTAGCACAACACTATAATTTTTACAGTGTTTGTCAAATTTCACTTTCATCTTATCAGACATATCCTTTATCACCTTATCAATACTTTTTTGATGTTTTTCTAAAATACACTGGATTTTCCACACTTGCATGAAATACAGATTTGCAGTTGGATAAGATGAACCAGAAATCAAAAAGGTAATTTCATAAAAAGGTTCTAAAAACTCACAAATTCTTTCCCCTCTTTCCCATTCCTCATCAGATGGACAAGATTTATAGCTTCTATCTGCCATCTTATAAAACTCAAAAGTTTTTCTATATTGCAAAGCACTTTCAAGCATCAAATAAGTGTTATTCCATCTAATAGATACATCAAATCTTAAACCACCACTAACATTTATCCTGCATCCTCGACACAATCTTTAAACTTAAGCATCCTTCCATCAGATCCTTTAATAAGCTTGACATTCTCTCTAATTTTATGGAGGGCTTCACTAGCAATTTTTAAACCCTCTTGAACAATTACGTTGAGCGCATGGGCCGAACAACGGATATGAAAAAATTCACCACCACACATCAAATGGCCTTGCACTCGAAAATGAGTTTTCAAATGGTCTTGCATGTTGTCATTGGCAAAGGCGTTATCCAACGTAATAGCAAATATTCTTATCTATTCTCCATTGCTTTAAGAAATCAAATAAAGTAGTTTCCAATGTAATACCCGTGTGGGGGGCTTCTTTCGAAGAAAGTTAAGAAGACAACTAACTAACATCCAATTTTCATCAACAAAATGAGCAGTCAAACAGATATAACCCTCACTACTAGATGTTGTCCAAACATCCGATGTTAGAAAAAATTTATTTAGAATCCTACCCATGATTTCCTTAAGATTGATTCTTTCTTTATCATATATTTTTTCAATATCTGACACCATGGTATTCCTAGAGACCATTTCAACACATGGATTCAAATATTTCACCCAAGCTCGGATTTTTTCATACTCGACAAAACTAAAAGGAAGATCGTGTGGAATAATAGCTTCTCCAAGTAATTCACGATGTGTGTTTTGGCTAATTGGGGTTAGGTTTGACGATTCCTCTAGACTAAGAATGCTCATTTGGAAACTTTTACAAATAAATACATGACGACTTAGATGTGAAGTTCCATAATTTTGACCAGACTTAGCCTTTTTTCCAATGGCAAAATCAATACTACAAAAATTGCATGCAGCTCTTTCAACTCCATTTTTCTTTTGCCGATTTTAGTAAAAATAATCCAAACTGTTGACAATATTTCCTTACGAGATTCATCTTGACCTTGTGCATACTCACTGATATCCATTGACTCCATACTATAACAAAAAAAACCTGTGTTATAACAAAAAGAAGATATATTCATTAAACTATATCCTTATATATGTTTATAAAACATTAATGGACACACGGATTAATGCAATGAAAAGAAGAAGGATTAATTCGAAGAGGGGGAAAACACTTAGAAGTGCAGGTGTACTAGGCAGAGAAATTAACACCGTTTTCAATATACTTCCAAACTTGCTTTTAACGTATAGACAGAAGTGGAAATTTTGATTGCATTCAGGCATGGCTTCCTAAACTAGACTGGTGTCAATTTTTGGATCTATTGGCACGGATGTTAGCGTTAGATTTAAATTCGGTGCAGTTTCTGCATCATGCAGCTTAGTGTTTAAGGCTCATTCACTCAGTTTCTCAATAATGCAAACCATATACATTGAACATTCATACTCATGATAAAGAGACATAGAGAAAATGAAGTAGAAAAAAGAGAGCATGGATTTAGCATCAAGAAAACAACAAAACATATTCTCAAATTGAGTTTCTATGCAAAACGTAGAATATACCAGCAAAGGTAGGAAAAGGTGGAAAAAATATAATCCTGTCCAAAATTAAGCTATAAGAAAGCATACCAGCAAAACTCAAATTGATGTCGTATGCATGCACCCTTGGTTTTTTTCAATCGATCTCTTGCACTTGGAACACGGCTTTGAGTTAGCAAGTATCCTGAAAGTCCATTAACTGTTAGCTCTAGATCTTGATAAAAACTGGTACCAATGGATATATTTACTGAATAATAACTATTCATTATTGAATAATCTCTGGAGAAAGGTTCACAATCAGAGATAAATCATATAGAATCACACTTGAACAGAATGGAAATGCTTCCTTATAGCTTAATTTTGAAAATGATAATTTAATTAGGAAGTCCATATCTTATATATTTCCACTTTTGTGTATATCTTAAAAGCAAGTTTGGAAGTATATTGAATTAGCAAGTTTGGAAGTTCTACAAGGAACCAAAAGCAAGTTTGGAAGTTCTTCTACAAGGAAGTATATTGAATTAACAAGTTTGCAAGTTTGGAAGTATATTGAATTGGCACGTATCTTAAAAGCAAGTTTGGAAATATAATAAAATGCTAGTAATCCTAGTATGCATCTATTTATTGTAATATGCACATTTGAATTGATATAGAAGTTCAAAAAAATAACAGATTTTAAAATAAATAAGTGTTCCTATTACATATGCCATGGAAATGTGACACATGTATATAAATATTATTCCAAAGTGTAAGTGCTTCCTTGCATGGCTATGAAATGGAGATTCAAATCTTGAATCAAAAGACCAATTTTCAGAATCATGAACCGAATCTTGTTATGAATAATCATAATATACATTACCAATAAAAAAAGGACACCAAGTAAAAACAAGTGACATAACAAAACTATAAGTTTATAGTTATCGACCTATTTGAATTTGAGTTTATCTACTGTCATAAGTACTTGTGAGACGGTTAGGAAGAACTTATGAACACAACTTATAACACATTCATAAGTTATTTTCAGTTGATTTTCATAAGCTCTCCAAGATGGCTAATGAAAAAAGCTTATAGCATATACGAACACCATTTAACTTTAGTTGACATTTTATTATAGAAATAGCTCATGCATAAGGCTTATGTTATAAGTTGCAAATCTAAGTATAGACACTGTGCCATTTACTAGTATTTTGACAAACTCATTCAATATTGTATTGTAGTAATTATCGGCCACAACATATGATATATTATATTCATATTTAGTCTTTCAAAAACATTCACATATGACTGTGAAACACACTCTATCTGCAGGACTCATCCTCATTCCCTGGAGTGCACATGCTTTGGCAAACCAAATCCATTCTTATTCAATAATGCAATACACTTAATTACTTAATTACTTTCACAAGGAAATTCCTTTTGTACAAGGGGATACAGTACACTTTATCTCCAAAAGTGTGTATAAATTTTTCACATGTATACATATTGCTAATCTGTTTTAGATGAAAATGATAATCTGTTAATTTGTTACCCTCATCTTAAAAGAAACACATACTTTTTTTAGACTTTTGACATTGGAGGAACGTGAAATGATGATAAAGGCATAACAAATCTAGTAATAAATGCTACACTTTCATATACAAAGAAAGAATTTCCAAGAGAAACAATTAAAGTTAACAAATTGGAAGAGGAGCATTTGAAGAAGGGGATTTTAGTTTTTGATTTGAGTCACATAATCACTTGACTCGAGCCAAATATGATTGTTACTAATTTTGAAAACCCATAACGTGAAACTTAAAGATAAAGAATTTCATTGAAGCATTTTTACAAACAGATTGAGTTTATAAAGAGATATGGAGAGGTATGAGTACCTCAAAAATAGAACAACAACTTGAAAAGAAGACGACGGTGACGGTGCTACAGGCTGGACGGCGGCGGCGACGCAACAGGCTTGACGGCGACACAAATTTTGAACGTGAGATTTGTTTGCAATGAAAATTGATAGAAACTGAAAAAAAATACAGTAAAGGTGAAATATTTTTTAATAAAATAAAACCCCCTTAATAGGGCTCAAAAATAAAATAATAATTGAGGGGTCTAAAATAATGGGGTCAAAAAAAAATCTAAAAAA